CTTCAAATGGAGATATTTAGTCACGTATTTATAATGTGTAGCTGTTTTGATGACTGAGACAAAATTTTGAATTAAAAAAAAAAATATTTTGTGATAAAAATTCCTAAATATCAAAATTTGAAAAATGGGACAAGAGATTTTCAATCAACACCTTGTGCATAGACAAATGAAAATATAGACAACGAAATGCTCTCACCGTTCATCTTCGAAAAAAATCGAATCAGCAGATGTCGTCTATATCGTTTTGGGGATTTGAGTGGAAATATTGAAGTCACTCAATTCTAAAACGTTAAAAATAACAAAAACTGTAGGATATTTGTCAGTTGAAAATTGTTCCATAATAGAAGAAATGTGAAAAGTACGTGATGATATCGAAAAATTCCGGATTAATCAAGTGAAATTCTTGAAAAACGATAAAATGTGTTTTCGAAGTCGAGTGGGTTGAACGCGTAAATCAGCATGTTGACTATGCAAAACATGATGAGAGCCACCTGTAAAAAAAGACAAAACTAACTTTTCGTTGTCAATATTTTCATTTGTCTATGCCTTGTGTGAGGTATAATAACATGTTGGAAATTTGACCAAATAAACAGCAGAGGCTGTTTTAATTATTTAGTGATAGATAAACAGAAGTGTAAAGCAAACGACCATAACTTTAGAAACAATCAATAGTGTGAACACAATATTTAAACACCAACACAAATTTTGTACTTCCAGAGACGGATAAAACAAAATGACAATTTTATATTGTCATCCTATTTTTTTAATAAAATTAAAACAATAGTGTTAATTTTATTTCAAAACATAAATAAAAACTATTTTGGTTATCAACAAATTTTCCTTCAGTACCACTGTTTATTGTCAAGTACTTTTCTGCTAAAGTTCGCGCATGGACTTTTGCAAAAATAATCCACAAATATCCAAGGAGCAATTTTTTCTCCAAATCAAATTATTTCTGAAATAACAAATCTCTAATCAGCCAACCAAGCTTGACTGTTTAGAAAAATGTCCCACATTCATATGGAACTAAGCTCGATTAATAATGAAATATTTTAAATTATAAAAGTACCTCTGCGTACATGAACAAGCGTATGTAAGCCCTCGTCTTCGGTATTTTTCGAACATTTTTCAAGCCTAAATAAAGTATTACTGTAGTGTAATTGTTTGTTGGCACAATTAAAAAGTTTTTTCGCTTAGCATTAAATAAAGTGTTTCATTAATCTTTTGCCCCTGGCACTGTTTAGTGCCGGTAAAAATATACAAAAACGAACTTTTGCAACCAGTGTTTGGACAGCAAAGGAAGAAGGATGACAGATTGGCGCGGATTCCACTAACAGAAAAGCCAAAGCATAGAAGAGGTGGTAAGATTGTGATGTTGATTGGCCGATTTGAAGTCTGCTATTTACGCTGATCCTCCACCACCTTGCCACATTGCATCCGAGCTATGGATTCCTGTAAGCGACATTAAAACACAAATGCAACAAAAAAAAAACAATAAATGAAGCAAAAATATATATAACAATAGGTACGGCATAGAAATGAAAAATTCGGAATAGAAAAATAAACGTTTCTACACTATAAAAACTATTATTTATTTTACTTAAACATTAAAAACTTAAAAATTATGAGAAATAGTGAAAATTAAACTATAGGAATTGCTAATTGTTGTACAAAAAATTTAAAAACTAAAAGGAATCGTGAAAAAAAAAACAAGAAAAATATAAAGAATTATAAAGTGGAAATTATAGAAAAGGAATTATCACATTTATCAACAATAACAACTACTTGGGTACAATAATAACTAGTAACCACAATCAGAGTTGAATCGAATGACATAGATCAATCTTTGGCGATGGCAATGTTGTGATTTCTTAAGCGAGTTCACACTAGTAAATATTTTTTAAAAAAATTCAAATATACTTTTAGTAATTAATGAATAAATGAATTTAAAAAAAAAAAAAACAAAAAAATACGTGAATGATAGGTTAGATAGGCTAGGTATACTAAATACTGAATTTGTTACATATTAAACAGCTGAATCTATAGACGCAAATGAATAGATAGTATTAGAAGCAAAATTTCGAGATCTTTGTGAAGATGTTGAGGAAATTTTAAGGAAACTAACGATAAAAGAAGAATTATTCCAAAAAGTGAGATTACCAAATATGACTGCTTTCGATATTTCGGTAGGTGGCAAAAGCCTACAGGTGTTTAAAGGGACATTCAAGTACTTAGACGATAGCGCAGGTTGAATTGCTGCACGATCTCTTGCAAGATGAGGATCTCTTAATTTATATAAAATATGTTTATAATTTTAAGCTATCGAGTGAGGAAGGGTGTACTTTAGATAGGTTTTATAAGCCAACTACATTTGAAGATTTAAAGAAGTTGCTAATTGATGCATATCCGAACCCCAAAACGATACAACAAATTCTGTCAGAAGTCCAAGGGAATTCTTCGGTCAATCTGTTTAGGGAAATGGTAGCAGATTTGGTAGATCAGTTGAGTACATTCCAAATAAATAGATTGCCAAAGCGACGAATGAGACTAAAGATGCAATATATAAGGCGAGCGATAACTTGACACTCAATGTATTTGTAAAAGGAATAGATGATGCGTAAAAGAATGTTCTGCTTGCGAATCCACTTCACACTATGAATGAAGTAGCTCAAAGATGTTCTGATCTTCTTAGATCTTCAAAACAGAAGCGTTTTTACTCATGTAATGGTAACAAGTACAATAACAGATCCGGTTACATTAATAACAGTAATTACGATAACGATGGTAGAGGTGGTGGAGGTTGAAGACGTCTTAATCTGCAAAGATTTTGCTTTCAGTAATATGAATTCAAATGAAACAGCGAGATTAACAGATATTACAGAGACAGCAGTACAGTGCTTGGGTAAATCAGTGTTAAACTTGTCAATTGACAAAGAGCATATTAGTCACAATTTCCTTGTTGTCAAAAGAGATTTCCCGATCCCCACGTATACAATAATTGGGAGAGACATTCTGTCCAATTACATATATAAGATTGATTTTGAGACTTACACTGCGACTTTTTCGGTAAATGGTGGCGATTTAATATTACCATTACATTCGAAACATATATTAAATACCATTGTTCGGCCAGTGCAGTCTGAGGTTATCATTCCAATTGAATTGAAAATAGATGAGGATAGCGTGATACTGAATAAGGAAGTGACGGATGGGGTTTTCATAGCTAGTTGTTTAATACCCCATAATGGACTTAAACATGTAAAATTTTTGAACACTAACAGTAAATCTGTTTAATTAAAAGGTCAAATTTGGATATCAAGAATTTATGAAAGTATGACGTGTATTACGCTAACAATAAATATGTGACAAATGCCAATTCATGAAAGAAAAACATGAAGGTAAATGTTAATTCAGGAGGATATTATAGAAGATTCAGTGAGTCCATATAATTCGCCATAATTAATAGTACCAAAGAAGAGTACAGGTGGGAGTAAAAAGAAAAAGTAAAGACTGGTTGTTGATTACAGAAGACTGAATGAAAAAAATTGTCAAAGGCCAACTTTCCGTTGACAAGGTTGGAAGACTTTTTACATAAATTGTGAAGGGCCAAATATTTCTCACAACCTCTAACTGCCTTCTCAACCGGAAAAGGTCCTTATCAGTATAAGAGACTGCCATTCGGATTAAAAATATCATCCAACAGTCTCCAAAGAATGTTGACCATAGCAGTGACAGGTTTGGATGCTTCCGTGTTTCTTTATGTGGACGACATCATAAAGGTATCAGGACAGAACCCGCGAAAGATGATGTCATAAAGAATTACCCAGCACCTACGAACGCTGACGAAGTTGAACGATTTGTGGCATTTTGCAATTATTACAGGAGGTTTATATCTAAATTTGCGAAGAAAAACGTCTTGCAAAGAAAAACTTACTTTTCCCATGGAATGGTCAATGCCAGAAAGCAATACACTGAAAGGTCAATTATTAAACCCACCGATATTACAGTACCCGTTTTTTCGAAGCCATTCCTATTGATCACAGATGCATCGAACTATGCCCTTGGGGCTGTATTATCGCAGAGGAAAGTTGGAAGTAATTTACCTATATCTTACCCCAGCTCAACGTTATCAAAACATGATCTGAATAAACCGATAATTGAGAAGGAACTACTTGCGATCCATTGGGGAATAATTTTTTCCATACCGTTACGGGAGAAAATCCACTGTAGTAACAGATCACAGACCTTTGGTGTCATTATTTTCTCATAAAACCACATCGTCTAAGATGACGAGGATGTGTGACTACGACTTCGATATAGTTTTTAAAAAAGGAAAAATGAACGCTAATGCAGATGCTCTGTCGATGATAAAATTGAACAGTGAGAGCAAAGGGCAAAGCTATGCCAAGGTAGGCTATAGATACAGAAAGTAGTGGAAGTATTTTTATGGGATTGTGTCTCAAATTCTAACTCTAGAGGAATGAACAAGGTAATATTTGAACCTGATGCTAAGATGAAAAGTATGCACATAAGTTGTTTATCTAATAGTGTAGTTGTAAAATGCTGTGAAAATCCTATTTTATGCATGAAACAGAGCGAATATATCGTAAAGATAAACAGTTGAATCTAGTTCAGGAATATCATGGTTCCATGCATGGTGGTCATTTGGGGGTAAGGAAAACATCATTAAAACTAAAACAGCGATATACGTGGAAGAATATGCACAGGATGGTGAAGAACTATGTCTCGAACTGCCCACAGTGCAAATGAAATAAACAGGATAGACATTCGAAAGAACGTTTTACGAAAACCGATACACCAACGATAAGCTTTGAGATCGTATCTGTAGACACTATAGGCCCCATAGATGGCCCGTCGGAAATTATGACGTATCTGACATACAAAAGTCGTAAACCTACCCGATAAAACAAGGTTTTTGACAAAAATAGGAACGAAATAAAAACACATTTGTCTCTTAAAGTCCAATACAGTTTTTCTTTAAAATATTTGTTTTATTAAACAGGAAATAAAAAACATAACAAACTTAAATAATTCATTTAAATTACATTTTAAATCAAAGGCCTCCAAGCAGGTACATACTGTTATTACAAATTATTTTGTAATTTGTTTCGTTTAATTTTCGTTTTCGCTGGAATCAGTATCCTCTATATACTGCGAGACGTCTTTTGTTTCATTAATTCTTAAAGAAAAATAAACTTCTAACAATTTCTTAGAACGTTCTGGGTCTAATCTGTTCCTCAAATCGGTATGAACATGTGTCCAATTTGAAAAAATACCCTCCAGCTGAGCTGTTGAAGCTGGTATCATGAGCAATTTTTGTGCAAATGTCGTTAATGATTTGTGTCTATTTCAGCCAATTCCCAGAATAGCCCAGGTTAGGATGTTTTTTCCGAAAGTAAGGCAAAAAATCCTGCCGCATTTTTGTTTTCTGAAAATGATTGTAATCCATGTTCATCAAGATTTTCCAGTAAAAAGTCTTCAACTTTTTGCATTTGCTCTGGGTTCAACCTTCCACCCTTATATCGCGGATTCAAAACATTTGCTGCGAGGTTATATTTATTAAAAACTTTACTGATTCTACATCTTTTTGCCGCCACTTCATATAATTCTGGTTTTGCCGTGGTAAGCAATTTTATCCATTCTTCTGTTGCATCAGCTATAGAATACTCAGACTTTTGACAGTTTTTTATGAGTAAAGATACAGGATTCAAAAGGTCAAATAGTTCCTTAACGGATTGAATAAATCCTCCTTATAGAGCAGCTCACTTATATAGGATTTGACCAAGGGTTTTCCATAAGTGTTAGTTTCTGCAGATATTTGCTTCATCTTGGAAATGCGGTTTATCAACCAAAAAAGTCCATCACGCTCACCGCACCATCTTGTTGCACATGGTAACTTCGCTTTGGTTCCTCCAAGCATTGACAACTTTCTTTCAATATGTACTTTTTTAAATTCATTAAGAATTTTATGTACTTTTCTAAGTATTGAAGAGTTTTCAGTAACTTCGTCCTCCAACATACCGAATACATCATCGTTTTGTTGAGACTGTAGCCGTGTAGATCGCCTCTGGCTATTCCCAGTCACACAAAGATAATTTAACTCGAAACGAATACCAAAATTCTTGATGATATCTTTGGATAGCAAATTACCCATGTGGGCATTACACGTTGTATGAATCAGCCCAACATTCCGGCCCATTGATACCATATCAGTAGCATTATCTGTTACTACAGCGAAAACTTCAACTTTGTACCGATATTTGGCTTAACTGGCAGCTTTTTTCACCATTTCAGTGAGATTTTCTGAAGTTTCTCTCATGTATGAAAAGTCGTAAGATTCCAAAAAAAAAAAATCAGTGGTCACAGTTGTGCAGTAATGCTGCGACATTTTTTGTGTTTGATGCTGAATTTTTCCATCCGTAAATAAGAAGTACGGAATATGTACCTTCTTTTAAAAATTTGGCATTCAAATCGATTTGCTCCTTATGCACTGCATCCAATAGTGGTCCAGATATCCTTTTTCTGCTTGGTGGTTTGTACGATGGTTGCATTCCTTTGCAAAAATCTTTGGAGAATTGATTACCTGCTGCAACAAAAGGAATGTTACAAGCGAAAAAACCTGGCAGTACGAATGTCGAGTTGAGCTTTATCTTTCTTGTTGAAAGATAAAGCTCAACTTGTTGAAAGATAAAGCTCAACTTAATAGTAGTTTGAGTATTTGATGTCTGTGTACATGACAACTGAAAGTAATAGTGATATTTTAATACATGTAAATTGAAAACGAATGCATGCTTACATTTTTTGGGATATAACCGCTTCAAGTAAATCACTTCCGTTGTCCTCGTCAATCTGTTCAACATTGCATTTTTTCCTAAAGATCCAAAAACGCATTTATAACTAATCGTTATTTTAATATTAATATGGAGTACTTACCGATGTGACTGCATTCTGTTAATAGCCGTGTTGCGGATTAATTGCTTGCACCTATTGCACTGGGCAACAGCTTTTCCTCGTTCAGTTATTTTTGTATATCTGTACCAATATGGATGAAGGGGCCTACCACCGGTTGCTCCAGAACTTTGTCCAAACCCATCTGGTTGTTGTTCATCACTCGGACTTTTTAACATTTTAAAATATATAAAATTTTTGTAATTGTTGAAAAGTAGTGTTATCTCCCGCTCAAACTAATTTGTTTTTGGCGTTTCTTGGTTGACATCTGTCAGTTCTATTTGTCAACATGTACAAATGCAATGAAACACACATCAAGCAGTATACGCGACATTTTGTAGATGGCGTGATATGTATTTTGTATATTTTATGATTCATTTAATTAAATTTAAATGTTTTATTTAAGAAAACATCAAGATCACAAAAAGTAAATTTTATAAAAGTCTACATTTTGAGAATCTTACACATGTTCATATTATATAAGTTGTGATTATATAGTATAGTGGGTACTATCCGCAATATACATTTGTAATTTGTTTCATACAAAGTTCAAAGTTTTCAAATTATTTTAAATACATTATTTTTAACAAAGTAAAATATATATAAAAACTTACTGAATCTTTTAAGTAACAAGAGCTAGAGGAATTGAGCATAATTATGATTATAACACAACATTTTTCAGGTTTATGACGTTAAATACATTTCATACTTTTTATACAGCTTTATGACGTTTTCGACGTTTACAACTTTGTTAGGCCTCTGATAGGCCCCCTTAGAATATCCAGGAATTACCGGTATGTTCTCACAGCACAGTGCGAACTAACAAAATATATTGTAGCTTTTCCTGTGGAGATAAAAGATGCAAAGACTGTTGTGAAAACTTTGGTGGAAAATTGATTAATGGAATTTTGACGTTGAAATCGGATAAGGGAACTGAATTTATCAATCAATTGTTATCAGAAGTCGGCAAAAAAAATACAAAAATCAACATTTGCAGCCAATGGGGTTTTTAAGCGCCAGCTAAACTATTAGGTAGGCTTAAAAATATTTCCCCAAGCCGTGAACATCACATTACATACATAATAATACTGATTATATATAAAAGAAAATGTTAGTTATTACGATAATAACTTAAGAACGGCTGAACTGATTTATCAATTCATAATGTCTCATGGCAGAAAAGGATAAAATACAAAAAATCGATTAAATATGCTCCAACAAAAATGTAATTTAAAATATTTTTGTTGGAGTATGTATATCCGGTGTTTTTGATTTTATTCTTTTCCGCCATGATCCAAAAAATCGAGTAAAAATACTCCATCAAAAATGTGAATAAATAATATTTTTCTGATATATATATTTTTTTAATTTTTCGTAATTTCTTATATCGCATGTATCAATTTGACTAATTGTATTGCATTGTACATTTTGTAATATTGTTTATATCCTACAACACTGAATTGGGGGTATTATAAGTATGATTGATGATAGCACTTCGAAATATTGGTCCCACGACTTCATATATCAATTTACCTATCTCGCTGAGTTGAATCGATTGAGCTATTTATGAGTTAAGATGGACCAAAAAAAAAAAAAAGATTTTGCTGATGCTCTTCAGGTTTTGAATCATCGGATAATATTTATATTCTCGGTTAATATATAAATTTAAAGCCACATTGACTTGAGAACGTGGCTTAAGACCTTAATAGACTAGTATCGGTCGCTACAGCTATATTAAGCTCAAGTCAAACTAAATCCGTATGGCAAACATTAAAACAGCTTAATAAACACAGAATTTTATTTTTATCAATAATATATACTTTATGGGTATCTTTCCAATATTCGTGAAAATAAAAGTAAATTGTTAAATAAATATATTCCCTTTGTGTAGAGCGTATCGAAGAGCAAAAAACCCTCAATCATTAGGTGGACCAAATAAATACCCTGTAGGATTGCTTATGGAAACATAGATAATAGCTAATACATTAAGAATCCTAATAATTGATCTATGTTTAGAAAACGTAGGCATTACACTATTATTCTATACCCATTAGAATATTAAGATTAAGAATGACATATGAAGGGAATGTGATTATGACCTTTCCACCACTAAAAAGCTGTAATACAGTTGCCAGAAACAGCAATCATAAGATTGTTGTATTAATAAAAAATGAAAATAAGTATATACACTTAAAGGAACACTTGTATCCATACTACATTGGTGACCCCGAACGAAAAATAACAAATTTCAAACATGACAACCGAAAAAAATTCAATGGAAATATCCCGTGTTGCTTTACGTGTTCCACCATTTTGGCGACAACATCCAAGGCTGTGGTTTATTCAATTGGAATCTCAATTCGTAACAGCAGGAATTTCTTCCGACGAAACGAAGTTCCACACGCTAGTTGGGTCCATGGAAAGCAACATCCTAAGCCATGTGAGCCATGTTTTGGAGAATCCTCCAGCGAATGGGAAATATGATACGCTTAAGAAGACATTGCTGAACGAATTTATGGAATCAGAAGAAAAGAGACTACGGCAGCTATTGGAAAACGTGTGCATTGGTGACAAGAAGCCTTCTGGATTGCTGAGAGAAATGCGAGAATTGGCATGTGGATAAGTGTCTGAAGAGTTGCTTAAAACCTTGTGGATCCAACGCCTTCCACAAACAGTGAGAGCAATATTGTCGGTGAGCGAAGGCAGATGGCAGATAAGATTCATGACCAACCGGATGCTTCTGGGGTAGTAAATGCGGTTTCAACAAGCGACGATGACCGATTGCAATCTCTCGAAAGGCAAGTATCCGAGTTGTTATCAAAGATTGATAGTCTGTCAATAAGAGGTGAACAAAGAAACAACCCCAGTTATCGAGTTCAAGAAGCAATTCACGAGCAAGATCATCTGTTTGAGGGTACCATTACAAGTTTGGTAAGAAGGCTACAAAATGTCGGTCACCCTGTTCCTTCGAAGCAGCGGAAAACAATTAGGCACCTCATCTACGGTGACGGATGAGTGTGGCCTACAGATAAGTCGCCTGTTCATTCAAGATAAACAATCGAAGTACAGGTACCTTAGAGATACTGGAGCCGACATTTCAGTTTTACCACCAACGGCTGAAGAGAAGAAAAGTCCACCTAAATCATTTGTATTCTATGCAGCAAACAATACGAAAATACGAACATATGGGACGAAAATTGTAAGTTGCAATATTGGTCTGCGACGCAAATTTCTCTGGTCTTTTATTGTTGCTGATGTCGCACAGCCAATAATTGGATCAGACTTTCTGAAACATTTTGGTCTTCTTGTGGACGTTAAAAATAATCAACTAATTGATTCAACGACGAACCTTAAAGTGCCTGGATATTGCTCCCTTGATCAGAATTTCTCATTGAAGGTAGTTTCAGATGCCCCAGGAAGATATAAATCAATTGTTTCCGAATTTGTCGACGTCACGACACCCAATATTAAATTGCCTCCAGTTAAACATCCAATAACACACCATATTGATACAAATGGACCAGTAGTTTCCGTCAAGGCGCAAAGATTATCTGATGCAGTTAGGAATTTGCTGACTATCAAAAAGTTCTTGGGCGAGTCCGTTACACATGATACCAAAAGGTGACGGGTTGTGGCGCCCCTGTGGAGATTATCGTTCTCTTAATAACCGATCGTTACCCCGTAGCACACATCCAGAATTTTGGATATATGCTGGCTGGTAAGAAAGTATTTTCAAAAATTGATTTGGTCAAAGCATACTTTCAGATTCGTGTGGCAGAAGAAGACATCTCAAAGACTGCTATAATTACGCCATTTGGATTGTTTGAGTTCACGCGCATGCCATTTGGTCTTACGAACGCTGCGCAAACATTACAACGTTTTATTAATGAGGTTTTACGAGGACTTGACTTCTGTTTTGCCTACATCGATGACATACTCGTAGCGTCTGAAAATGAAGAAGAGCACGAAAATCATATCCGGCAAATATTCTCTCGACTACAAGAATATCGCATAACTATCAATAATGAAAAATGCGAATTTGGCTAGAACTCTCTGGAATTTCTGGGATACTGTGTGAAACAAGACGGCCTTACTCCATGTCCAGAACGTGTTTCTGCAATCCTTCAGTACAAATTGCCCCAAACTGTCAATGAATTGAGCCGATTCTTGGGAATGATCAATTTTTATCGACGTTTTATTCCGAGAGCCGCCCAAGCTCAAGCAACGCTAAGTGCCCTAAATCTCGTCAAAAGAAGAACGACAAAACGCCAATAGTTTGGATTCCAGAATTACGTAAATCATTTGAAGAATGCAAAACCCAACTTGCGAACGCAGCACTTTTGGCATATCCTATTGAATCCGCAGAGACCTCTTTATGGGTAGACGCGTCAGATACAGGTATGGGAGCTGCCCTCCAACAACTAATTGATGGTGAATGGAAACCACGCGGATTCTACTCAAAGAAGTTGTCAGACACAAACACGGTATAGTGCTTATGATCGCGAACTTTTGGCGGCATACTCAGGATTGAAGTATTTCCAACATTTTCTTGAAGGACGTCAGTTTTGCATATACACAGTTCATAAACCGCTTACATTTGCTTTTAATCAACGACACGATAAAGCATCTCCACGCCAACTTCGTCACTTAAATTTTATTGGACAGCATACGGTAGACATTCGTCATGTACCTGGAAAACAAAATTCAACTGCAGATGCATTGTCTCGTGTCAACACGATATCGTTCTCATCTTCTTTGAATTATTCAGAACTAGCCGAAGATCAAACGAAAGACGAAGAATTTAAATCTTTACTTGCACACGAAAAACCATCAAATTTGGAACTGAAATCTCTTGAAATTCCAACGTCGAAAAAAGAAATCGTATGTGATGTGTCAACATCTAAAGGAAGACCGTACATCACATCTCTTTTCCGAAAGCAAGTATTTGACATGATACACAACATATCACATCCCGGCGCAAAATCTTCAATTAAGATGATATCGGATAGGTTTGTATGGCCGAATATGCGGAAAGAAATTTCAACTTGGGCTAAATCATGCTTAAAGTGTCAGCAAGTCAAGGTTGTACGCCACGTGAAAAGTGCTGTTGAGCAATTCCCAATTCCAGACGAGCGATTTAATGTAGTAAGCATCGATATAATTGGAACTCTTCCACCGTCGGAAGGGTATAGGTACTGTCTAACGTGTATTGACAGATTCACCCGATGGCCCGAGGCTTTTCCACTGCAAGATATCACAGCTGAATCTGTTGCAAAAGCA